ATGAGAATTGACCGAACACTTGGAACGTTTATTGGACGATATACAATAATTAAGACGGAACGAGAATGCGATGCGCGTTCGATATAATTTGTTGGCTGATTGCAACAGAGATAAATTTGTTGTAATGGCGCGAGGCACTTGCGGTTTTTCGCGTGAGAACCGTACCGGTATTCTTCCAGTTCTGCTGGGCTATCGGCGCAGGACAATACGCGAGCACCGAGAGTCCTTTTTTGCACACCTCGGTGATTTGCGGTTAGACATCGCGCGATACAGGTGCGTGTTATGATTGGTTTCGCCGAATTCGCGTGATATTTCGTGGAACGAGTAGCGCGACGGAATCTCGCGAGACCTCGTCCACACTCGGGAAACCTCGGCCGCGCGACGGTGCGCGAGCGCGCTGATTGAATTCCAAACACGTACAAAAAAGTTATTGCGTTTAATATTGTTTTTATGGATATGTATATGTATTATTATGTACATTTGAGTAAATTATTTTATTATTCCATTGTTATTACAGTTTAACAGTGACAACGAACGCATGCATATTTTCAAATATCGGACTAATAGTATATTTTTATTCAATATTATTACATATAAGTGAGTAATACGTATCAAAAACGTAATCGAAACACAGATTTTTATTACACCATAAACATTGCATAAAAAATATTTCGTTATATTGACATTTGCAATAATTGTGGAACATATAACGAAATATCACTGTAACACTTAAAAAAGTTTTAAAGTTCCATTTATATCATTGTCCTGTGAAAATGTTCATACTTTTCATACTAATCCTAGTTTGATATAATATAGAACGTGGTTTTATGAGATAGATTCGAAGTTCGCAGCCATTAGCTCGATATTGTCATCAGTTTACAGTACTTTACCGATGATAATACCGATTGCCCAGGCCTCACCACGAGGAGGTTGCTGCGAGTGGAGGCCCAAGGCAGGTAGATGGAATCACAAGTTCTACATCTTCCCACCTTTCACAATAAACCTTATAAATAACTTAAATCTTAACTATGTAATACTATCTGTACTAACATCCCTCGGCGGGATGTTTTACTTCTTTCATGAGCCTAAACCTATAAAAAACTAAGTTCCCTCGTCGGTTGTCTTCGTTCTTCAGCTTAGAACTAATATTATCTTAATATTCTAATTAATACGAATTAATGCTATTGATACAAAATAACTTAAACTGAACGCAACGTAGTCGCTAATACTCAAACGAAAGAGATAGACGGAATGGAAAAAGTTCCATCGATCATTTCGTTTACGCACCTAATATTCTATATATACCAAGCAGTTATTAAGTCTACGATGAACCACGTTAAACTACAGTATGAACAAGTATCGCGATGCAAGTGTTGTCGCCAGAACCTGGTTAACCATCTTTTACTGCCATGGAGCTTTGGGCTGGTCACCTGCGTACCAGACCCGAACCAAAGGAGTACACAAGCATGGTAGTGCAAGCGAGATTCTCTGTTT